TTTTTTTCTGGAGGAACATCCCTGCCCTGCCTCTCACTTGATTAGCCGGCCAAACGCTTAACTGATGAAAAAGCAGGGATGAGAGCTCCCTTTTGTGTGTGTGATCTGTCCTCTCAGCTCAGGGAATCCTCCCTCTCTGCTGTTTGGAGGTTGTGCCACTCGGACTCTGAGAGGGTCACTGTGCTGTGCTGGTTGGTGTGAGATGAGATTCTGAAGCTAGTTTCCCAGTCCTTCCTTTTGACAGCTCTTATTTGTTTTCCTTTTTTTTTAATCCTCACTCAACACTTTTCCATTTTTTGTTTAGATAGAGTGGGAGGAAGAGAGAGAGAGAAATTGATGTGAAAGGGACACATTGAGTGGTTGCCACCTGCAGGACCCAACCAGTGCCAGGGACAAACTGCAACCGAGGCACGTGCCCTTAGCGGGAACCGAACCTGGGTTTCTCTGGACCGCAGCCTGGCGTTCTAACTGCTGAGCCAAACATGCCAGGGCTCATTTGTTTTCTTAAGATATTGTTTTTTCGCCCTGGCCAGTTTGGCTCAGCGGTTAGAGCGTCGGCCTGCGGTCCAGAGAGACCTGGATTCTGTTCCCGCTAAGGGCACATACTTCGGTTGCAGTTTGTCCCCGGCCCTGGTTGGTCGTGCGGGTGGCAGCCACTCGATGTGTTCCTTCACGTCTATGTTTCTCACTCTCTCTCCCTTCCTCTCTCTCCCTCCCACTGTATCTGTACAAAAAATGGAAAAATATCCTCGGGTGAGGATAAAAAAAAAAGATATTGTTGTTTCTGTTGTGGCAGATGATAGGATGTCTTGTTTTGTGCAAGATTTCATGTTGCTACGTCATAAGTATTCTACTCAGAAAGATCTAAATTGATGGTTCAAAGAGGGGGAAAGATCTCGCTCCCCACCCAGAGTGTAAAAGAAAAATAGGATGAAATGAGTCTTTTAACACTCCAAATCCTCCTTCTGGAGGCCTGGGAGCTACAGTGATAACAATGGGGAAATTAATGCCACCCCAAAACCCTGTGCAGGCTGTGGAAGTAGCAGGGACCACTGCCCCACTTCAATGTGAGGGGGAAAAAATGGTACTTTTATTTATTTTTTATTTTTTTTCGAGAGAGGAAGGGAGGGGGAGGGATAGAGACATCAATGAGAAAACATCAATTGGCCTCCTCCTGCATGCCCCCCACTGGGGATCTGGCCCACAACCTGGGCATGTGCCCTGACTGGGAATCAAACCGGTGACTTCTTAGTGCATAGGTCTACTCTCAACCAGTGAGCCAAACCGGCCGTTCAATATATGGTACTTTTAGATTCAAGCTGCTGGAGGCCTGGGAGCTGCTGCAGCCCTTGGAAAGAGCCTTGGGGCCTGTTGTCTTCCCTCCCCCCTGCCTCTTCTCCAGCCTACTAGAAGCAGCCAAGGACAACAAAGAGTTAAACAGCTCAGTTTTGAGCTCAGTCATGGAATCCAGTAATCACCAAGAATCATGTGTGTAATGGAAGTTGAACTGGTACATTTTTTGTGAGACATAAAATACATGTCTGTTTTGCCTGGGTTTGTAGGAATAAGTTCATGTTATTTATCTCCACACAGAATTTGTCAAGAAAATGATTTGGGTAAAAATTGAGAATTTTAAAGAAAACAAAAAATCAATATAATAAAAATAAATGGTTTTTGATAAAGCTTTTCAGTAATAATTATATATATTTAAATATCACTTTCCAAAGTGTTTGGTACCTTAAGGTTTGGAGATTTGCTAGGTGAAATGATTAAAATGTTACATAGTTAGGTATATAAAAAATAACAGGACACTACAATTTTCTGTTTGTTTGTTTTTTATGTTTTTTTTTTTTATCCTCACCTGAGAACATTTTTCCATTTATTGTTCAGATAGAGTGGGAGGGAGAGAGAGGAAGAGAGAGAGAGAGAGAGAGAGAGAGAGAGAGAGAGAGAGAAACATTGACGTGAAAGGGACACATCAAGTGGCTGCCAACCGCACCACCAATCAGGGCCTGTGACAAACTGCAACTGAGGCACATGCCCTTAGGGGGAACCTAATCCGGGTCTCTCTGGACCGCAGGCCAATGCTCTAACCACTGAGCCAAACCGGCCAGGGCTTGGACACTACAATGTTAATTAATCTCAGTTTGCATACTCTTGGTTTCTTATTACAGAGAAGTCAGAAGATGGGTTTTTATCTCTCAATGAATATCTTATATGAAAAGTGTATAGGCTGTGGAGATAGTTATTTTAGAAAAAGAAAGTTGTAAAAGTGGTTATTTCTGAATGGGTAAAAAAGGTTTGTGAAAGTTGTTGAGAGGGTTACTGCTCTCCCATACTGCCGCAGTGTTGGAATAAACGCTCTTGTAGGATTCCACCTTGTCTCTGCTTCATTGGCTCAAGTGCTGACCGGTGCCCAGACCCATTCCTTGTGCAGTTTCATTTGAATTACTATGCAATGAGTTGAGGGACATGGTGCAGGTCTAGCCAGCTCTATATGTAGAATCTGAGTTGTTTATTGATAGGCATTTAGACCCACAGTAGTAGAGTAAGGACGATAGGCCAGGAATAGAAGGTCACCAGGGCAGAAAGCCCAGGGTGCTTAATAATGGGACAGAACTGGACAAACAAGGGCATTGTTTCGGGTGACCTTTTCTCCCCTAGCATCTCTCTAGACCGCAGGCTGACGCTCTAACCACTGAGCAAACCAGCCAGGGCTCCCCTAGCATCTCTCTGGTCAGTCGGTTTGGACCCTACCCTCACTTTACCTCCCCTGGGAAGGTGAAGTCTTGTGGGTTAGGGTCCCCCCACCCCAGTCTTAGGGAGTGAACCAACCTGAGGGCCAAATAATAGCTTTTAAGCATTAAGCCTCCAGGAAAATAAGATTCTGAAACTCCTCTTCCTCTTCTCCATCTCAGGCTCTCCTACCTTTATCCTCCCTGCTTCTCACCACAAAGGCCCTTGTTTGCCTCTGTAACTGGTTTCTTGAGTCCATTTCTTCTACCTGTCATGTCTTCTACCTTTGTGACTTTCTTTTTTATTTTATTTTTTGAAACTTATCTTTATTGTTGAATGTATTACACATGTTCCTCATTTTCCCCCCATTGACCCCCTCCTCCCCATTCCTGCCCTCCTCCTGCCTTTCCCCACACTGTCCTCTCTGTCTTATATATACATATAAGTTCGTTGGTTTATTTATTCCTACCCCTGAACCCCCTCTTTTTTAGGTTTGTCAGTCTAACAACTAACTTGTACTTCTTAAACGTTTCACCTCTTTCACCCATCCCCTCAACCCCCCTCCCATCTGGCAACCAACAAAATGTTCTCTGTATCTATGATAATGTTTCTGTTCTGTCTGTTCATTTTGTTTGTAGATTCACTTGTCGATAGATATGTATTTATTGCCATTTTGTTTGTTCTTATGTTTTATCTTTGTCATCAAGAAGACCCTTTAACATTTCATATAATAATGGTTCCGTGGTGATGAACTCCTTTAACTTTTCCTTGTCTGGGAAACTCTTTATATGGCCGTTGATTCTAAATGACAGCTTTGCAGGACAGCTTTGCAATCTTGGTTGTAGGTTCTTTCTTTTCATCACTCTGAAAATTTCTTGCCACTCCCTTCTGGCCTGCAAAGTTTCTTTGAGAAATCAGCTGACAGTTTTACGGGAAGTCCCTTGTAGGTAACTAACTGCTTTTCTCTTGCTGCTTTTAAGATTCTCTCCTTGTATTGAACCTTTAACCTTAGTGGTTAAAGAATTGGCCTGCGGTCCAGGAAGACCCGGGTTCGGTTCCCGCTAAGGACACGTATCTTGGTTGCAGTTTGTCCCGGCCCTGGTTGGATCATGCGGGAGACAGCCACTTGATGTGTTTCTTTCACGTTGATGTTTTTCTTTGTTTCTTCCTCTGTCTGTCCCTCCTTCTGTATCTGAAGATAAATGCAAAGATGTCCTCTGGTGAGGATAAAAAAAAAATTATTTTTTTGTTGATTTTAGAGAGAGAGTAAGGGATGGGGGAGAGAGAGAGAAATATCAGTGAGAGAGAACATCAAGCACCCCCCTCTCGCATGTCCCCACTGGGTTTTGGACCCACATCCTGGGCAAATGTCCTGACTGGGAATCAAAACAGCGACATTTTGGTACATGGTTTGATGCTCAAACAGTGAGCCACACTGGCCAGAATCTATTGGTTTTAGAGAGAGAGGGAAAGGGAGAGAGAAATAGAAACATCGATGACAGAGACCAGCAATTGGCCACCTCCTACATGCTCCCCACTGGGGATTTGGCCCACAACTTGGGCATTAGCTCAGACCAGAAATCAAACTGGTGGCATCTTGTTGCACGGGTCGATATTCCACCATTAAGATAGGCTTCTGGGTTTTGAATTCCTTTCTAACCAGAACTCAAGTGCCAAGGATGCTGAACCGAGGTCCCTTGTGACCCCACTCGTCTAACAGTTTGTGCTGTTTTCCCAGGCAAGGTTTTCTGGATGGGAATGTTCTCATTTATTTATTTATTTATTTAATCTTCAGCTGAGGACATTTTTGCATTCATCTTCAGATAGAATGGGAGGGAGAGAGGGAGGAAGTGAGAGAGAGAAACATTGATGTGAAAGAGACACATCAACTGGTTGACACTCATACAGCCTTAACCGGGGACAAACTGCAACTGAGGTACGTGCCCTTAACGGGAACTGAACCCGAGTGAAAACTGCCAGAGCTGGATATTGATTTTTTTTTCAGCTGGTTTATTTGAAGCAAATGTAGCCCTGGGAGGAGCGTGCAGAGCTGGTAGAAGTCACCCCTTGAGAAGGACATTGATGTGTGAGGACAGTGTCCTCTGTGAGGGTGTCTTCCTGACTTTAAGAAAACCAGCTGTCTTCTCCGATTCTAATGTAGAAAAACGCTGTAAAACTGCGATTTTCCAGAGCATTATGCAATCCATTGTCTTTTTGCTTCTTGGCAATTGTGGCTGAAATACACTGATAAAAATTCTCTACAGGTTTGGACATTTCTTACACGGACACCTGAAGCAATTGCATCGTGTGAAGCAAGGAAAACTTCCCGGGAGGATTATCAGCATTTCCAGGGACTGAACTAACTGAAGACAGATTTCTAAACAGAAACCTAGAGCTGACCAGAAACTCAGTGAGCCAGAGCTTTCCCGCTGCCAGCTCCTGTCAGAGAGCAGAAGAAAATGCCACAGGCTCAGGTGACTGTTTTTGTTTTGAATTCTACTGGGAGATATTTGTAGCATTGGATATTTGAGAGTGGAATGGAGGATAGATGCATAGGGGTGACAGAGAGAGGGAGAAACATCGATGTGAGAGACACACAACCATTGCTTGCCTCCCACAAACACCCCAACAGGGGCTGTGATCTTCACTGCAACCCAGGTACTTGCCCTTGCTTAGAAATCGAACTCACGGACCTTTATTTCTTGGGCTGATGCTCTAACCACTGTACTACATGGGTCAGGGCTCAGGTTGCTTTATTCTTTGCTTTTCTTATCAATGTGTTTGTAATGCCTATAGAAAACCACCTTTGTTCCTGTGGAAGGTATACATATATTTTCTGTCTCTCAAATATAAGAATTGGATTATATTGTATATATTTTGAGGTTATCATGAACACTTAAATTTTTTTTTTTTTATCCTTACCAGAGGATATTTTTCCATTTTTTGTTCAAATAGAGTGGGGGGAGAGAGAAAGAGAGAAAAACATCGATATGAAAGGGACACATCAAGTGGCTGCCACCCACACGACCCAACCAGGGCCGGGGACAAACTGCAACCAAGGTACGCTCCCTTAGCGGGAACTGAACCCAGATCTCTCTGGACCCCAGGCTGACGGTCTACCGCTGAGCCAAACCGGCCAGGGCTAATTTCTTCATTGTTTAGTGACAGCTAATTAGATGAATGCGTGGATGACTGCGTGTACAATTACAAATAGCATTTTGCTAGGTATGTGACTATTCACCTGTATGTTATAATAAAACCTAACTTGCTGTATACACTTAGTGTATAAAGTGAAAATGAGCACAAAAACAAAAATTTCTTCCATGTCATCTGAAGGACATCCTGCGATAAACAGCATGGTGTTGTTACAGGAATGCCTGACATTTCACGATGTGGCCGTGGACTTCACCTGGGAGGAGTGGCAGCTGCTGGACCCCGTTCAGAAGGACCTGTTCAGGGACGTGATGTTGGAGAACTACAGCAACCTGAAGTCTGTGGGTGAGGACAGCTCCCTGTGTCACTCAGCCTAACCCAGTTAATGGCTTCTTGTTCTCACCAGTTTTACTCTTCAGAATAACTGCCTTCCCCTCAAAGTGTGGAATCTCAGGTTGTTCTCTTGCCCCAGACAGGAGGGTATAGTCCCTACTCCAGAGGGAACAGTCCTTGTGTTAGAGATGTGAAACTTGTTCATTCCCCCTCCTTGGCAGACCCCAGCCCCATTCAGTATGTCTAAGTCTTTTATCATTTTCCTTGAGCAGGTTATGAAGCCAGCAAACCAGATGCGCTCTCCAAGTTGGAACGAGGGGAAGAACCATGGACAGTACAGGATGAACTTCACGGTCTAGTCTGTGCAGGTGAGTGAAGGAGACTCAACAAGGTGGGCAGCTGGGAAGGCACATTCTAGTGAGAGTGGTGGCAGTGAATGAGGAAACTCACCCCCCTTTCCACGGATGAGAACCTTGTTTCTTTGTAGAAGTTTAGAAGAAAACATACATTTTTTTCTGGGATGTTCCCGACATTCTGAGCTTCCTTTTAAATGTTTCTGCTATTCATTTGATAAACAGGAAAGATCTTACCATGTTACATGAGATCCAGGCCAAACTAAGTCATAGCTTATGTCTGCCTCCAATGACTTTCTTTCTAGTTTTCCTATTTGAGATTTTGTTTTATTCTTAGATGTTATGGCTGCATTTTTTTATCCTCAAGCATTTGTTGTCACATGATGTTTTTTTCCATTTCTTTACATTTAATTCACATACTGTACAGTTTACCCATTTAAATTATGAATTTAATTGTTTTTTAATATATTTATAGGGTCAGTCAACCATCCACACAATCGGTTTTGGAACATTTTATATATATAGGTATTGTCATCGTCATCTTGATTCCTGTACCTTTGTAATACGTTTTGAAATTGCAAAGACTGTGGTCTCCAAGTCTTACCTTTCTTCAGGAAATGAATTTGACTTCTAGATTTTTAAATTTTTATTTGAATTATAGAATCAACTTGTGAATTACTTTAAAAATATTTGTATTTTGATAGTGATTACATTGAATCTATCTACTTTCTGTAGTTATTCCTTTTTATCCATATTATACATCTTTTCTTTTTGATTTTCACCTGGGGATATTTTTGTATGTTAACTTAGATAGTGTGGGAGGGAGGGAGGAATAGAGGGAGAGAAACATCAAGGGGAGAGGGTCGCATGGAGTAGCTGCCTCCTGCATGACCCTATCAGGGCCGGGGATGAAGTGCAACCCATGTACATGCCCTTGATCTGAATCGATCCCACGATTCATAGGTCCACATGGCAATGCTCTACCGCTGAGTCAAATCAGACAGGGCTTTATCTAATATTTTAAAAGGCTCACTTTGCCTACAATGTAGAAGGTAGACATTGTCATGGAGGGTAGTTTACTGTTATAGTCATGGTTACAACTTATAAAAGTAAAACATGTAGATTAAAATGATCTGCTTCTTGTGTTTTAACTTTAGATACTTAAAAATATATATTTTTTCTTTATTGATTTTAGAGAGATGAAGGAAAAGGAGAGAGAGTTAGAAACATTAGTGAGAGAGGACATGAATTGGCCTCCTCCTGAATTCCCCTTATTGGGGATCAGGCCCACAACCTGGGCATGTGCCCCAACCAAAATTTAACTGGTGACACTCAACCACTGAGCCACACTGGCCAGGCTAAATGTGTGTTGTCTTTTAAAAATTTCTAAATTTTCCCAGTGACAAGGTTTGACACCACATGAGAAAGATTGTTAACCAGGTAAGCCGACCCAGGTGGTGCCTGTAGTCCTGACAATTTAAAAGGTTGCAGTGTTGTCCAAAGCCTCTGCCACACACACACAAAAGGCATCTGAATAAATGACATTGTTGCCATGAATGAAGTGGTATGGCCTAAGACCACAGGCATAAATAGGTACATATCAGGGTGTATATTCCAGGGAATCAGGTTATCTTCCAGTAATGAGTCAGGGCCAGTCCTTTCTTTGGGATGTTCAGGGGTGGCGTGACCTATGACTGCTGAATTAACACTTGAATGCATGTCCTCCATCCCTCTTTGTGTAGGAAACTAGGTGAGTATAGTCCATTGAGACCATTAGTTGGGATCTTGATTATAGCAACTTTTTTCTGAAATGGAGATTCCTGCTTTAGGAGAATTAGGTCCCTCTCCAGAATGAAGCAGAATGGCAAGGTTTTGAAACATGATAACCCTGAGGAGTCTGTGATCCTTATCTGGAAATGAGATGGTGATCTCCTTACTCCCATGTATTTCTTCTGTATACCTGGGTCTGCAGGTTGGCACCTGATCACAGTACTCCATGTTTGCTTCCCTTTGGTGGCCTTATGAATTCCAGAACTTTACATGTTCTTTACCTTTTATTCTACGTGTTTTTAAACATAGTGTCATTTACTGCCTTTTCTTGGAGGAATATCTCTGTGTTGATGGGATACACGCTCTTGTTTTCAATATTCTCATGCACGGATATTTTTCCGTTGGTGTTTAGATACAGAAAGAGCCCAGCCTGTGTGGCTCAGTGTTTGAGCATGGATACATGCACCAAGAGGTCGTTGGTTCAATTCTGAGTCAGGACATGTGCCCAGCTTGTGGGCCAAATCCCCAGTGGGTGGCAGGCAGGATGTGAATTTTGGCACGTTTGAAGCTGTCCCAGAGGCTCTTTACACTATCCTCATTTTTTTGGATTCTTTCTTCTTTTTGCTGTTCTGATTGGGTGTTTTTTGCTTCCTTACATTCCAAATTGATGGTTTGCTTCTTGGCTTTACCTACTCTACTATTTAATCTGTGTAAATTATTTTTTATTTTAGTAAGTACCTCCTTCATTTCTGAATGTGCATCCTTCATTTCTGACTGGCCCTTTTCTATGCTCTTGAGGCCCTCACTAAGTTTGTTGAGCATCCTTATAAGCAGTGTTTTGAACTCAGCATCTGTTAGGTAGCTTATCTCCATTTCATTTAGTTCTTTTCCTGGAGTTTTGTTCTGTTGTTTTATTTGGAACCTGTTTCTTTGTCTCATTTTGGCTGCCTCCCTGTGTTTGTTTCTATGTATTACTTAATGAGAGGTATGGGGCTAGCTGAGACCAGATGCTGCTTGTTTGAAAGGATTAGGAAAACCTGAAGCAGGATCAATCCTGTGGTAAAGCAACTGGCAACAGCTCGGGTGGGTCTGAAAGTTGGGTGGGGTGGGGCCTCAGTATGAGCCAGGTTGGGAGGGGCAACCAGTGTGAGCCAGGTTGCTGGAGTCCCAGATAGGCAGCTCTCTGCCACCCCAGGGAAGGGCTCTGGTCATTTAAGGACTGTGTGTTCCTGTTAATTTTTTGTCTAGAAGATCTATTCAGTGGTGTCAGTAGGATGTTAACGTCACCCCACTATGATTGTATTGCTATTGATCTCTCCTTTGAAGTCCTCCAGAAGTTTTTTACATATTTTGGTTACCTGTGTTTGGTGCATATATGTTTACCAGGGTTATATCCTCTTGATGGGTTGTTCCTTTTAATATTATGTAGTGACCTTTTTGTCTCTTATTATGTGCCTTGTTGTAAAGTCTATCTTATCAGATATGAGTATGCTACACCAGCTGTTTTTTTTTTTATTGCCATTTGCCTCGAAGATTTATCTTCCATCTCTTCACTTTCATCCTGTGTGAGTCTTTTGTTATGAGGTGTATTTCTTGTAGACAGCATATATATGGGTCATGTTTTTTTTTTTTTTTTTTTTTTAATCCTCATCCGAGGACATTTTTCCATTTTTTGTACAGACAGTGTGGGAGGGAGAGAGAGGAAGAGAGAGAGAGGGAAACATCGATGTGAAAGGGACACATCGAGTGGCTGCTACCCGCACGACCAACCAGGGCCGGGGACAAACTGCAACTGAGGTACATGCCCCTAGCGGGAACCGAACCCGGGTCTCTCCGGACCGCAGGCGGACGCTCTAACCGCTGAGCCAAACCGGCCAGGGCTGGGTCATGTTTTCTTATCCAATCAGCTAGCCTATATATTTTGATTGGTACATTTAAGCCATTTACATTTAAGGTTATTATTGATATATACTTATTATTTGCCTTTTTATTTTATTTTCTTTTTTTATCCTCACCCAGGGATATATTTGCATTTATTTTCAGATAGAGCGGAAGGGAGAGAAAGAGGAAGAGAGAGAGAAACATTGATGTGAGAGACACATCTAGTGGTGGCCACCCACACAACTCCAAACAGGGTCGGGACAGACTGCTATTGAGGTACATGCCCTTAGCGGAAACTGAACCTGGTACTCTCTGGTTCACAGGCTGGCGCTCTAACCGCTGAGCCAAATTGGCCAGGCCTTAGTTTTTATTTTAATTTTATGCCTGTTTTCTTTTCTCTCTCTCCCCACCCCCTTCTTTTTCCAGCAGTTCCTTTAGAATTTCTTGCAGTGCTGGTTTGGTGGTGGTAAATTTTTTTAGCTTTTTTTTTTGTTTGTGAAGCTCCTTCAATTTTTATAGCCTTGCTGGGTAGAGTAGTCTTGGATTCAGACCCTTTCTTTCATAACTTTGTATACTTTATGCCATTCCCTTATGGCTTGCAGTGTTTCTACTGAGAAATCAGCTGACAGCTTAATGGGAGCTCCCTGTAGGTAACTTTCTGTCTCTCTCTTGCTTCCTTTAAGATTCTTTCTTTTTCTTTAATGTTTCCGGTTTAATTATATGTCTAGCTGTGGGTTTGTTTGGGTTCATCTTGCTTGGGACTCTCTGTTTCCTGGACTTGTGTGGCTTTTTCCTTCACCAAATTGGGGAATTTTTCTGTCATTGGTTTTTCAAACAGTTTCCCTATTTCTTTCTCTGAGTCTTCTCCTTCGGATACGCCTATGATATGAATGTTATTATGCATTGTGATGTCCCAAAGCTCCCTTAAACTCTCCTCCTGTTTTTTCTTTTTTTCTCCATTTGCATCTCTATTTGAGTTTTTTTTTTCTTCTACCCTGTCTTCTAACTTACTGATGACCACATTGGCTTCTTCTAATCTGTTAAATCCTTCTAAGGTATTTTTTATATCAGCTAATTTGTTCTTTATTTCCTCTTGATTTTTATTCATAGCTTCTTCTTTTTTTAAGCTGATGTAGTTCCCATTGAGCTCTCTATAATTCTCACTGAGTTGCTTGTAGTTCTCACTGAATTGTATGAGCACCCTTAAAATCATTGCTTTGAATTCGTTATCTGACATATTGACTTCTTCCATTTCATATAGTTCTATTTCTGGTGTTACCTTCTTTTCTTTCCTTTGGGTGTTATTTGTCTCCCCGTTTTAGCCATCTGGTAGCTCTAGACCTGGTGAGGGTTGTGGAATGTGTAGGCAGCTCACTGTGTATCAGACAAGGCTGCTTTGCCTCCCAGACAGTTCTGTTGCATGTCGCCTCTTGCCTGCTGTGCGTCTTGGAGAATTGACTACTGGGGGCTGGTATTGGTCTGTCCTGGTAGGTGCTGCTGCCGGATTGTGTGGGCCTCTCTGAAGCTGTGTTCCCCACTCTAAACCTACTTTTATTCGACGCTGTATATCCTTATTTCCTCCACCTCTTACATCTCCTTGCTCCTTTTCTGTGTTTCCCAGGCCGAAACGGCCTTTAATACTTCGCTACAGTTGTTTCTAAGTAGAATCATTAAAACTGGCTGTCTTACAAATTTAATTTGATTCTCTCCCTATCTACCTAGATTGTCAGATCCTGCAACTTCTCGTTTCAGCCCCATAAGACAGCCCCCACTTCAGTGTCAATTACAAGTCCAGATTGTCACCTGGGCATCTGACTCACTGGATATAAATTGGAGGTTCTCTTGGCCCCTCTTTGGATTTAATGAATTTGCTCAAGGAGTTCAGCCAGTTTGGCTCAGTGATTGGGCGTCCACCCATGAAGCAGGGGGTCGCCAGTTAAGTTCTCGGTCAGGGCAACATGCCCAGGTTGTCAGTGGATCTCCTGTGGGGGGCCTGTGGAAGGAGGCCAGTTGATGTTCTCTGTCATAGATGTTTCTGTCTCTCTTTCCCCCACCCTTCTCTCTCTAAAATCAATAAAGAAAAAATTTTTTTTTAATCAGCTCACAGTACTTAGAGTAATACGTACTTATGTTTACCAGTTTATTTTAAAGGATGTTGTAAGAAATACAGAGGAATATGTACATACACCAAGGTCTGCAAAATTCCTGAATATAAGAGCTTTTGTTCCCTTGGATCTGGTGCAAACCATTCACCAGCCAAATGCTTTTGTCAATAAAACACAGTTTATTAGAACTTGGTAAGAGATTAAAAATTTTTTTTTGTTTTCATTATTGATTTTAGAGAGGAAGGGAGAAGGAAAGAGAAATAGAAACATCAGTGAGAGAGAACTGCATGCCCCCCACTGGGGATTTAGCCCACAACCTGGCCATGTGCCCTGACTGGGAATTGAAATGGCGACCTCTTGGTGCATGGGATGACTCTGCCACTGAGCCACATCGGGCAGTCTAAGAGTTTTTATAGAGCTTTAATCTAGCCCACAACCTGGCCATGTGCCCTGACTGGGAATTTAAATGGTGACCTCTTGGTGCATGGGATGACTCTGCCACTGAGCCACATCGGCCAGTCTAAGAGTTTTTATAGAGCTTTAATCTCTAGGCCCTTCCGCCTTTACCATGGGTCACTGTGTTGAGCTCAAAGGTGAGCCTTTTAATAAATTGATCTTTCTGGGGACTAGCTCTATCCTGAGGCTGTATAGAAACCCTGTGCTAACAACCATTTGCATAAACTCACATTTACCAGTAAAATTTATTTTTTTAATGCATAACAATAGATACTTGGGAAATCCAAGATTTTAACAAGTTCGGTGTCAAGAGTCCTGGATAGAAACCAGTAATATTTGGTTTTGTGTGTGTTATTTTTTAATATTTGTGGTGTTTTTTACAACATAGATTGTCAGTAACTTCCACAAAGGCATTTTGTAAAAATTTTATTGCATACTAAGATTAGGACAGATTGCAGAGTGAATTGCTGTTTTCTTCTTTCCTAGATTGCAGGCAAGATGATAATTCTCCACGGTGTCACCTGCAAATTGGAAACATTCAGAAGAGTGTGGAACGATGCTATGAACATAACACTTTTACAAATATTGTTAATCATATTGAAGATAATTTCCAACTACAGCAAAATCCTAATCTTGAGATACGTGAAAAACCTTTAAAATCAAAATTAAATTTGGAGAACCAAACCAGAATATGTAACTTAACTAACTTTATTGAATTGAATGGACATAGGACATCCATTCTGCGTGGCAACCGAGAACAGTGTTACCCTGAAATTATATTACCTGTCAGTATGAAAAACATCAATAACAAGTCCCTGATCATTCAGCAGCAGAGGACTTACAATGGGGAGAAAGCCCACGTGTGTACTGAATGCGGGGAGGCCTTCATCAAGATGTCTCTTCTGACTCGACATGATAGAGTTCATAGTGAGGAGACTCGTTATGGATGCAATCTGTGTGGGAAAGGCTTCTCCGCAAAATACTGGCTCTCTGAACATCTTAGAATTCAAGCAGGACTCAAACAATGTGAGGGCCCTGAATATGACAAGACCTTCCTGAAGGAATTAGACTTGAATATACATCAGAAAACTCCCATGGGTAAGACACCTAATAATGGTACTGAGTGTGAGGAAATGTTCATCAAAAACTCTCAGCTCATTTGTCATCAGGAAACTCACACAGGAGCCAAACTCCATATCTGTAGTGAATGTGGAAAAGGCTTCACCAGGAAGAGCAAGCTGGTTGTACATCAACGGACTCATACACGAGAGAAATGTTATACATGTAGTGAGTGTGGGAAAGATTTCAAAGCAAAGTGTCATCTGATCACACATCAGCGAAAACACACAGGTGAGAAGCCCTATGTATGTAGTGCATGTGGAAAAGGCTTCACGATGAAAGTTGATCTCATTTCACATCAGCAAACTCATTCTCCAGAGAAACCATATATGTGTAATGAACGTGGGAAACACTTCACTGTAAAGAGATCACTCATTGAACATCAGCAATCTCACATAAAAGATAAACCTTATATCTGTAGTGAATGCGGGAAAGGCTTCACCAGGAAGAGCTCTCTGGTAGTACATCAGCGATCTCACACAGGAGAGAAACCGTTTGTATGCAGTGAGTGTGGAAAAGCCTTCCCACGGAAGAGCAAGCTGGTTTTACATCAGCGGACTCATACGGGAGAGAAACCTTATATCTGTAGGGAATGCGGGAAAGGCTTCACCACGAAGTGCTATCAGATTGAACATCAGCGGTCTCATACAGGAGAGAAACCCCACCTCTGTGGTGAATGCGGGAAAGGTTTCACCAAGAAGAACTTTTTGATTGTACATCAGCGATCTCACACAGGAGAGAAACCATTTGTATGCAGTGAATGTGGAAAAGGCTTCCCAGGGAAGAGGAAGCTGGTTTTACATCAATGGACTCATACAGGACAGAAGCCTTATAACTGTAGTGAATGTGGGAAAGGTTTTACCACAAAGAGCTATCTGATTGTACATCAGCGATCTCACACAGGAGAGAAACCCTACGTCTGTAGTGAATGCGGGAAAGGTTTTACCACAAAGAACTTTTTTATTGTACATCAGCGATCTCACTCAGGAGAGAAACCATTTGTTTGCAGTGAATGTGGAAAAGCCTTCACAGTGAAGGGGAACCTGGTTGTACATCAACGGACTCATACAGGGGAGAAACCCTATGTGTGCAGTGAATGTGGAAAAGCTTTCCCAGTAAAGAGCAAGATGATTTTCCATCAACGGACTCATACAGGAGAGAAACCTTATAGGTGTAGTGAATGTGGGAAAGGTTTCAAAGCAAAGAATGGTCTGATTCTACATCAGCGAAGACATGCAGGTGAGAAGCCCTATGTATGTACTTTATGTGCGAAAGGCTTCATAATGAAACTTGATCTCATTTCACATCAGCTAACTCATTTTTCAGAGAAACCATATATGTGCAATGAATGTGGGAAACACTTCAGCATTAAGATATCGCTGATTGTACATCAGCGATCTCACACAGGCGAGAAACCTTATATCTGTAGTAAATGTGGGAAACACTTCACTACGAAGAGATCACTGATTGAACATCAGGGAATTCATACAGGAGTGAAACTTTATATCTGTAATCAATGTGGAAAAGGTTTCATTGGGAAGAAATCTCTGATTGTACATCAGCGATCTCATACAGGAGAGAAACCTTATGTATGCAGTGAATGTGGGAAAGGATTCCCAGTAAAGTTGCGTCTGGTTTTACATCAACGGATTCATACAGGAGAGAGACCTTATATCTGTAGTGAATGCGGGAAAAGTTTTATCAGGAAGGGCAATCTGATTGTGCATCAGCGATCTCACACAGGAGAGAAATCTTATATCTGTAGTGAATGTGACAAAAACTTCACCAGGAAGACATCACTGATTGAACATCAGCGAATTCACACAGGAGAGAAACCCTTTGTATGTAGTGAATGTGGAGAAGCCTTCCCAGTGAAGAGGAAGCTTGTTTTACATCAACAGTCTCATACAGGAAAGAAACAGTTTACATGTAGTGAATGTGGGAAAGATTTCAAAGCAAAGTATCATCTCATTAAACATCAGCAAAAACACACTGTTGAGAAACCCTATGTGTGTAGTGTATGTGGAAAGGGCTTCACCATGAAGACTGATCTCGCTGTACATCAGCAAAGTCATACTTAAGAGAAACAATATATGTGCATTGAATGTGTGAAAGATCTTACCATGAATTGTCATTTCAGTGTACATCCAGTGAACTCATACAGGAAGTAAATTTCTATATGCAAGAAAAGTAGCTGAGGCTTAATTGGGAAAAGCTTGCTTATTGCATCTCTGTGTAAGTATATGAAGAAAAATATATTTGTAATGCATGTAGAATGGGCTTCACCATGAAGAGTATTCTAGGTATGCATCAGAGAGCTCGTAGTGAAGAAAATTTGAACACTCTGACTATGGTGATGGCTTTAGGAACAAAGCATTGCCCCATAACATGAGATTTTAATTCAGGAAAGACTTCCTTTGCATATACTGAATGTGGATAGTTCTCATCACCGAAAAATGATCTCATTTTCCAGCAGAGAACGTACAGAGGACAGAAACCCTGTGAATGGGATGAATGTGGGAAAGCCTTCACTACAAAGTCAGGACTCAATCTTTATCAGAGAAAACCTACAGGAATGGTGCCTTGTGTGCGTAACAATTGTGGGAAAGTTTTGGACCACTTGGCCATCTTTCTGAAACATAAAGTGTATTCACAAGTCATCATTTTGGGGTAAGCCCATTGCACATAGTAGACCCTCAAGGTAATAGTGTGGAATGAAGAATAACTTCACGCAAAGAATGTAGTACTCAGTTTACTGATTAAAATTAGTTTTATATCAATGAAAATATTTATAGACCAACTCATATACAGTCAACCTTCGTGAAGATATTTGAGGATATTGTATGTTTGAAAATTGTTGCTTGAGGTAATCCCCATCAATGTGGTAGTTTGGGAACCCTTTAGTGGATGTAGACCCTCTCATGTAATCATGAATGAGCAAAAATGAATGATTAGTTCTAATTGGAAGAAAGCATCTCCTTAATAGTAGATGTCACTTCCCACTATAAATACTTTTCTCTGGTAGTAAATATGGCATGGTTTTCAGGCATTTTTGCTGCCTCATTATTTGTCTGTAAATCCATGACTAATTACTTATGAACACATTTAATTGTGTGGTCTTTTTATTTTTAACCCTCACTTGAGGATATTTTTCTATTAATCTTCAGATAGAGTGGGAGGGAGAAAACAAGAGAGAGACAAACATCAATATGAGGAAACATCGATGGGCTGTCCCTGTACTCCCCCCCCAGGGTTGGGGACTGAACCATAGCAAAGTATGTGCCCTTGACTGGAATCCAACATGAGACTCCTTGGTCTGCAGGTCGAAGCGTTACCCACTGAGCAAAATTTCCCAGGGTTCAATTTTGGGGCCTTTAGCAAAACCTCAGATACCTCTATGAAGGAAACAAGCCTTGAATAACAAAGCATTTTGTCACTTTTATGAACACATGATACACCTCACAAGCCATAGGGGATAATATACCTTTACCCTATTTTTACTTGTCATTAATTTTATAGTGGCAGCTACTTTCTTTATGGATTACATTTTAATATATACACCACATTTGTGCACTGTATCTATTTCATTTTGTGGTAATTTTTACATTTCTTTAGTTCCAAGTTTGTATTATTTCACAATACTTGAAGTTCTTGAAAATGAAATGGAATTTATTCATTTCATAAAGATCAAAAAAATATCTGCATGTGTTTAACCAAATTTATAAAAAGCATTGAGTACTGTTTAAAATTAATGTATATGATGTTTTTATTAATTTTCATCTTTGTAATAATTTTTAAATCACACAAATTGAAATTTTCTAGAGGATTCTTAATGCCTTTCACGTAGCTACTCCCAAATGTAAAATCTTACAAGGTCACACTCGATTATCAAATAGGGGAAAGGGAAATTGTTACAGCGCAGTTTACTACAGGATATATCTTTCCCTCTCGTTTTAACAAACACTAGTTCTTTGGTTTTTCAATACAATGTTAAGAAGGTGTAGGTTCTTGTAACCAAGACCTCTGTAGAAATGGATTATCCTGTCATAAAATCCCTCCTCCCAGCCCTTCACAAGTCACATCGTTTTCCTTACCCTCATCTTGGGCATCAGTTTGTTTATATTTTTTGTCATTTATATGATATTAAAAAATGGTGCAATTAGCATGTACTCTATTGATACTGAATACTTTATTTTGTGTGATATAAAAAATACACACATACTGGTTTCTACCACTTGAAAATTCCTTAGTGCTAACAGCACATAAAGCATCTTTGTTGTATTGAGGGGACCACGGTTGGAATTTTAAACTTCACACATCCAGATCAGGCAGGGATCTAGAAATAGTTAATGATCAATCAAGCCTCCTTTGGGAAGAGTCTGGAAATAATCTACTAAAAGGGTTCAGTGAGCTTGCAGGTGTGTGAACACATGTAGGTATGAAGAATGCACTGCACCCTAACTTCTTGGGGACAAACACTCTTGCGTATGGAAAGTCCCCAGACCTCGCACAATGTATATTTTTATCTAGCTGTTCATCAGTATCTTTCATGATTATTAACATTTCTTCAGATGTGTATTTGTTATCAATGTATTTTAATGAAATACCAGACTACGTTCTGCCTAATGCTATGAATGTTGTCAATTTTCTTTTAAATAAGGACCGTGAAACAACAAAGGTGTTGATTTCGCTTGTTGTATGACTTTTTTTGCTCTACTGAATAAATGTTCTTTATATTGTTATAAGTTCCAGTAGTTTTTCATTTTTTATGCTATATACAATGTAATTGACACTTTAAAAAAAAATCTTCATCAAGGACATTTTTGCATTTATCCTCAGGTAGAGCAGTAGGACAGAGGGAAAAAGAGAGAGAAACATCAACGTGAGTGATACTTGTTGCCCCCCACACAACCCCAACATGGGCAAGGGACAATCTGCAACCAAGGTACGTGCCCTTATTGGGAACTGAACCTGAGTCTCTCTGGTCCGCAGGCCGATGCTCTAACCACTGACCAAACTGGCAAGCACTGTAATGGACACTTTTTTTTTTTTAAATCCTCACTTGAGGGTATATTTTCATGTATCTTCAGATAGAATGGGAGGGAGGGGGGAAGAGAGAGAGAAACATCACTGTGAGAGAGAGACATCGAGTGGTTGCCACCAATAGGACCCCAACTGGGGCCGGGACAAACCGCAACCAAGGTACTTGCCCTTAGCGGGAACTGAACCCTTGACTCTTCGGTTCACGGGGTGATGCTCTAACCTCTGAGCTAAACTGGCCAGGGCTCTAATGGACACTTTTATTTTTTTATTTTTATTTATTTATTTATTTATTTTATCCTCACCCGAGGACATTTTTTCCATTTTTTGTTCAGATAGAGCGGGAGGGAGGGAGAGGAAGAGAGAGAGAGAGAAACATCTATGTAAAGGGACACATCGAGTGGCTGCTACCCGCCCGACCAACCAGGGCCGGGGACAAACTGCAACCGAGGTACGTGCCCTTAGCGGGAACCGAACCCGAGTCTCTCTGTACCGCAGGCCGACGCTCCAACCGCTGAGCCAAACCGGCCAGGGCTCTAATGGACACTTTTAATTGTAACTGACATTATTGACATTTTCCATCACTGTCACAAGTATAGACTTTCCCTTAGTGGGAACTGAACCCTTGACTCTTCGGTTCATGGGGTGATGCTCTAACCTCTGAGCTAAACTGGCCAGGGCTCTAATGGACACTTAATTGTAACTGACATTATTGACATTTTCCATCACTGTCACAAGCATAGACTTTTGATGATACAATAAGCACTTGCTTTGGTAGTGTCCCATTTTAAGGTCTATCATGGGATTATTGACTTGGGTCTGGACTCTCAGTATGGACAGTGGAGTGGAGTCCCAAAGCTCAGAGCAAGGGGAAATGAGAGAAAAGTGATCAGATTCTCTATGCCTTGGGACAGACACCCCGGATTTGAATCTAAACTGTGAATTTCATGAGGAATCACAAGCAAATGACCCCTTCCTTAGGGGTGGGGAACTCATTTTTCTCTTGTGTAAAGTGGGTATGTAAAGTGGGTATAAGGAGCTGTTTGGAGGAGGTAAGAGCTTAGGTGCAGATGGGCAGAATGACACCCATGCCTGTTGCCTGACTGGGCTCCCGCAGCTCCCTCCTCTCCCTGCAGAGATATTCTCAGGCCAGGCAGCCCTTTCCCAAAGTACTGACAAGGTTCTGTGCTTTTTGGTGCTTTTGGGGGGAAAAAAGGGGGGACTTTCAGAACCCACTGACTCACTTGCTACAAGGCAGGTGCTGTGGGTACTGAGGAAGCAGTTTCCACCAGGGAATGTCCAGCCAACTCCATGGAGCTCCCTGGGTGAATGTGACATGCAGGCCATGATGTTTTTTCCTTGCTCTGTGAGGATCAATAAAAGGAACACACATAGCTCCTCAGTGCCAGTTTGCCAGGGTTAGTTAGACTTTTGAGGTTTTCCACTTACACTTCTCACAAAAACTCAGATTTGAGCCCTGGCCGGTTTGGCTCAATGGTTAGACTGTTGGCCTGCGGTTCAGAGACCCGGGTTCGGTTCCCGCTAAGGGCACGTACCTTGGTTGCAGTTTGTCCCCGGCCCTGGTTTGTGGTGTGGGTGGCAGCCACTCGATGTGTCCCTCTGACATCGATGTTTCTCTCTCTTTCTCTCCCACCCCCTCTATCTGAACAAAAAATGGAAGAGAAACAAACAAAAAAACCCACTCAGATTTGAAATAGCAAATTGCTGGGAAAATCCACTATTAGAGGAAATGAAGTAGGTTCTCCAAGTTTAAACAACAGACGTATAACCGATTCAAGAGGCTGGATTCCAACCCAGGAGCCTTGCCCCAGAAGCAGGGAAGATCTGCACCATGTTCAAAAGCCCTCCCTGGGATACTTGCGCTGTGAGCACTGTGTTGGCTCACTGAAAGCAACTTAGCCTGCACCGTGATTGCATGACAAGGGTCTGAAAATATTCCCTCGTTTTCGGAAGAGTGGAAGTAAGAGAAAATAAGACAGTTTTATAGCTTCGCACATTCTCTCGTCCCTGGGTCCTGGCCCCAAAGCCCCACAGCGCTGCCGTCTGTACGGCGGAAACGGGTCCCAACATGGCGGCCCCCAGGGCGCCGGCGCGAGGTGGGCGGGGACAAGGTGGCGCCGAGCACCGCAAAGCATTGTGGGACTTTCCTGCAGCCTCAGTGCCTTACTGGCCGCCCGGGCTTCAGCAGGAACCGCGGGGAATGGAAGCGCATCGCCAGCACAACTGTTGCGCCTTCTCTGTGGGTCTGGGGAAGACTCAGGTCAGTGTGTGTTTTTCCCGGGAAGGGTTTTGGTCACAGTGTGGTTTTCGTTCCTCCCAGGGGGAGGGGTGGACTTGGTTTTCCCGGAGCCTGGAATTATTACCGGGGTATGAGGGGGAGGGGAGAAGCGCCCACATGGAGCTGGTGCAAAGGACCCCGGTGGCCCTGGATGCGATGGTTGCTCAGCCGGCTGGGCGAACGGATTGGCGCGGAGACATTCCGGGTTCGATTCCCAGGTTGCAGGCTTGAGCCCCCGTGTCTGGAATGCGGGGAGGCTGACCAGGCTCTCTCCCTTGTAATGCAGAGACCTGTACCTCTGGGGCTCTGTGCTCTGTGATGAGAGTTGTCTTTGTGCTCCTCTGTGGTGTGAGCCTGATCAGCTGCTGGTTGAACATGACCTCTCTCGGACCTCGCCTGGTCTCCAAAAGGACCCTGATCAGCGTGGGGTAGATGCACAGCTCTGCGTGGCACAGGGCGTTCTGTGTGATGTCCTGTCTCATGTTCTGTCTGGCTGTACAAGCAAAAGGGCACGGGAAGCCATGAACCTTTGGGGATTCTGTTGTGCGCAGTTGTAAATATTGTATATTAGGATGCTTTAGGGTTTTTTCCTGTATAATTTTGCATAATTTGCAAAATTTAAAGGTTAGCTGGGGACCCAGCTTTTATGGTGGGCTGACCGAGTGGCAGGTATTGCAGGAATGTCCTAGCAGCTGGGGAAAGGGTTCATCTGGAGGAATATCCCTGCTCTCCCTCTCATCGAATTAGCCTCCCAAACAGTTAACTAATGAAAGAACAGGGATGAGAGC